AGCCTTTATGTTCTTTCTGGTCAGAGTAGTCTGCACCTTGCAACTCCCCCATATATGCCGTTTTTGCCCAGTGTCTTCCTTATTGTGGAAATATTTTGTGACCTCCCACACACACACACACACACACACATATACATAAATATATGTACATATATATGAAAGCAGAAATTTACAGCTGTGTGCATTTGCAACCTGTAATCTGGCCTTTTTTTGTTGCTTTCGGAGTCGTGTCTTCTTCCTCTCTGAGTAGCCTTTCAGCCCATGTCGGTACAGGAGTCATTTCACTGAGATTAATGACACTCTCTTACCAGCTTCAGCAGCATCTTCACAGGGTCTTTTGCTTTTGTTCTGGGGTTGATACGCACATTTCACACCAAAACATTTGTTCTCTGGGACACAGATCCCGTCTCTTTCCTGAGTGGTATGATAGCTGGACATTCCCATAGTGTTTTAAAAGCAGTGTGTTTGAGGTGTGCCTCCAATCATCTCAGATGTTGTCAAGTAACCTATCAAAAGTTTCCAAAGCCATGACATCATCATCTGGGCTTTCCCAAATAGTTTGAAGGCATAGTAAACTTAGTGTATGTAAACTTATGACTTCGAAGAAAGTAATAACTTGTCATTATTGTGGCATTTAGCAAATAGAAATAATTTTGGGAATCCTAACTGACCTAAAACAAGAAAAGTTTAGTCTGATTTCAGCTCAGACAGTGAGAAAAAAAGTTTGTCCTTTTATACAGTGTATGTAAACTTCTGGTTTCAATATTTATGAGTTCTCCCTTTAAACAAACTCACAAGTTCACAAGACCCATTGTAGAGACACAGAATGCAGATATACAAAGGCCATGTCAGCAAAGTTTAATTTGCAGGAGTTTTTTTTTTTTTTTTTCATTCTTTATATATATATTTTTTACAGGCACTATGGTATTTATACATTTATTATAAAAAAGATAGGTGCTAATTCTGAGATAATTTACAAAAAGTGACAAACAGTGATCTCCCTGCTGCTGCATCCAAATCAGACATGTAAACCCTGCTCTGGGCAACTCTTCTTCTTCAGTAGCTTCAGTCCCTTTACTAGTTGGTAAGATGTGCTTCCTTGTATCACAGCAATGAGTCGGCATCAGTCTTGTTGCGGTTCTGGAACAGTTTCATACTGAGGTGACCGTCTGTACAGACAGTAGTGCTGGATCATGAAGAGGATGTCAAACACTACAGAGAACAGACCCAGACCAAACTTTGTAGGATCGCCAAACACCAGCCTCCACTCATCTGAGGAGTGACACACATCAAAGTTAGTACAAAGACCAAGAAACTTTAATACATCCAGAATTCTGCTGCCTGCCTGCTCACCCACTCCAACACCCGTGATCATATTACCCCCATCCTTCAGAACTTCCACCGGCTCCCCACCCCCCCAGTGAATCTCTCAATAACCTGGCTCCCCCCCTACCTGACTGAACTTCTCCACTGGCACACTCCCACCCACACCCTCTGCTAGAGTAGAGCGTGGAGTGTTTGATGCAAAAAGAGTCTCCAAGAACCCTAAAATTTCCTGACAGGATCTGCAAGTAACTTTATAACTGTTGGTGTCAAAGTGCTGGGTCTATAATTAAAAACAGAAATCACACAAATTTAATCTGCACTGGAGGCATGTCAGGAAAAAGTTTTTGCTGTCTAAAAAACAAACAAACATTGAAACTGTTTCCTAGTGAACACACAAGCAAAGAGCAGACCTTTTGGAATAATGTGTCCTGGACAGATAGAGTAAAGATAGAATTGCTGTCTGCAGGAACAGTGGACATGCTTGGTGCTGGAACCTCATACCAGCTGTAAATCATAGTGATGGAAATGTTCTGGTTTGGGGTGGCTTTGCTGTCTCAGGAAGATTCAGCTATGACCAGCTATGTCTGTTTACGACTGGTAAAAATCATATTTTGAATAACAGACTATGCTTCAAACTAAGCATCGACTCACATGAGACCAGATACCAGATAAAGTACAGCATAGATAATACATCATGAACTACAATAATTACCATTGTTGTAAGACTGTAAGATCATCTGTAGAATACTGAGGGTTCCACCAGTGAAGTCCAGCAGCACGTTGCCAATACTCCACCCCTCTGTACTCTTTCTTCTGTAGTTCATGTATGCCTAGAAACACAGGCAGAAAGCCACCAGCTGTCAGTGACAATTCATCTGATCTGCAACCAAACCCAACAGGATGCAGGACAAAGTTTTGCATAGCATTCAGCAGACTGTCATCATATATGTTGTATTAATGAATTCTGAAGCAAACGTGGACTGAGTAAAAATGCATGACATGCTTTCTATCAGTACGAGGAGAAAAACAAAGAAATGTGTACATAAGAATCAAATTATGTGCTGCGTTGTTCTTTGAAAACATTTCAGTTCCGTTTATTGTTATTCAACTGACTATTTTTGGTTTGTCAGTGTGAATGTGAGGAGCTCACCTGTGGCACATATTTGATCAGAGTGACTGCTAGCTTAATATAGGAGAAATAGTAAAGGTAGTCCAACCAGGTGATTTGTTTGGCCACAGCAAGAAATAAGCTGATCAAAGCAAATGTCCAGCCAATCAGCAACAAGAACAAGGCCGTCCACGAGACTCTCTGACTCCCCCTCTGGAAAAGACAAGACACAGACAATTTCACACCAAAACAGTCGAGGATGTCCTGCCAGACAAACTGCCAGGACAGAATGACAGAATCAATCAGTTCAAGTAGTTCCACAGATGCTTATAAAAAACAAAAAATATAACTTTCCTGCACTGTGATGACCCCCATGGTGAAGTCATCAGTTAAATAGAGAGTCATGCCATCCTCCCTACTGTGAACACTAAACTGTCCATGACTAATTAATTCAAATTGTTTCTACTGCCTTGTTTTTAAGTGCTGTTCTGTGATTGATTTTCCTCTGTTCTTGTGCCCAACTCAGCATGCTCTCTATTCCAGGGCAGTGAAGTATTTGACATGACTGATCCAGCAGTGGATTGGTAGAGTCCACTGCAAGAGCTGTTTGTTAACCTAACTTAAAAAAAAAAAAAATAAAAAATCATTAATGTCTGTTTCACTGCCTACCCTGATTAAAATTTTAAAACCAGACTACAACATTGCAGTAGGTTCAGAATCAGAATCAGAAAGGTTTTATTGCCAAGTAGATGTTTTTCTTCTGCTACATTTAATTTGTGGGTCATTTTACCTCATTTCACTGAATGAATGAATGAATGAATGAATGAATGAATAAATACATTTCACACCTGACCATCTTATATCTATCAGATTTTTTCTTGTACATACATAACATGCATATGTATGTTATTAATTAAAACATGTAACATTTTTTATTACATGTGTAATAATGTTTTGAGAAAAAAATTGATAGAGAGAGGTGGGGTTATGGTGACTTTGCATTGTTTTCTTTGCACCAATTTGTGGATCAATGTTTGAAGTGCCGAAACTTGAAAAATAATGTAATCTGAGTCCTGAAATTTTGCAGGTTAGCTGATATGTACATATTGGTCTTCAATGGTACACCCTTGCTTTAACAGAATAATATTATTAATAATAATAATAATAATAATAATAATAATAATATTATAAGTAAGGGATAATGCCCGACGAGGTGTCCATTATCAGAAATTAATGGACGACGCGGAGGCGTGAACCGTCCGACGCGAAGCGGAGGACAGTTGCTTCCGCGAAGTCCATTAATTTCTGATAATGGACACCTCGAAGGGCATTATCCCGCTTATACCATGGTCACTTACGAAAGATATTACTAAATAAATATTAAATCAATTATTAATATGTTAATGTTGTTTTTTACCGTTAAAATCGTAAGTTTTCCACAACAAGCGGCTGAGCGGACTATTTCATGTCTCTCGTTGTGACGCGTTGCCAAGGTAACCGGTCGGCCGCAGCTGTTATATTAGGCCTAAGTGGAGGGAAGTGAGATGATTGCTTAACGTGAGGGCAAGTGCACCTCTTACCGCTTGTGTGTGTCCAGAGGATGATGCGAAATATAAATATATTTAACGTATGTTCTGAGTTTCTGTTGCCACGTTTACCAACTGCCGTTTGAGTCAGCGCATTAATTTAGAACAATCAGGTTATTTGACCGGAACTTCTTTATAGGTGTCCTATATCACTTTTTAATGGACACCCTGCAGCCAATCAGAATCGAGTATTCACCCAGACCATGGTATAATATATAATATAATATTATTATGCAAATTTGGTCAGAAGATGTCCATGTTTTTTTTTCTACTCCAATAAAACTTTTATTTTCACGCTATGAGGCTGAATTTCTTTCGACTGTAATTGGCACCAACAGGAGCTTTAACAATGTACTGTGTACAGTACTGTGTACTGTGCCAGTCAGAGACATACTGTACAAGAAAGAAAATATAAAAATTAAATTATTTGTATTTATGACCAATATTTGAACATGCATTGAGGAGATATGATCGGTGAAACCGCTCCAATAGTGGTCCTGACTAGAAGAGTTACATAATAGTGTTATTGGGCCAAAAGAAAAATCCTGGTTTTCTAACTCATAGTCCTTCCAATAGTTTTATATGCAGTGGTACCATAAGCAATCACCATGCTTATTATCTATATGTCAGACATATATATTTTAGTTGTTTTTGAATTCTTTTTTAAAGATGTGTTTGAATTCATTATAACCTTGGTGGCCAAGACTTTGTCACATAGAAACATTGTGTTTGGAACCTTGGTAGCAATACTACATGGTGCCCTGGTGTCTTTATGAAATCCCTGTTCAAAGTTGTGCATGAGCAATTATGTGTGGAAAATAAGTTTCCCTGTTTATTGCCTCTTTATGCAATATTGATGCCCATGTTATGAACCATATGAGTGGATTTTTCTGAATATTCCAAAAGATGCTGATGTCATACAGTTTGAATGTATATTTTGTAAATATTTGCGGTTAAAACGGGTTAAGCAGAGGAAGTTCTAAGAACATGTTCTGTTGGTGATAAACTTAGTTGTGGTGAATCTTGCTACGACCTGGATTACACCCAAAAATTGAAACGGTGCTACATCTTTTATACACTTTGGTTTAGATCAAAGACACACCTTGAGCATTGTTTATTACACGTGTACAGCATGATGTTAACTGTGAACCACTATTTCATTCACGCTTAAATAATGTTTCATTTGATTTTAAAAGCATAAAATAAATCTAATTGAAAATGAACGTGAATACTTGGTACCACGTTTCATAAAATTATTTGAAGGTCTTTGACTAACCATGATTTTTCTTTCAGCCCAGTAACATTATTATATAACTCTTGCCGTTGGGACCCATATTGAAGTGGTTTCACTTATCATACCGACTCAATGATTGTCCAAATATTGGCCATAAAATAAAAAAATTTCATTTAAACTTTTTTTTTTCTCATAAAGTGTGCCTCTGACTGGAACCATACTCTACATTTTTAAAGCTCCTACTAGTGCCAATCACAGGAAAACAAAAAAAAAAATCAGCCTCTTGGGGTGAAAAAAAGGTCTTATGGTTGATAGAATATCGAAATAGAAAAAAAATGAAAATGGTTTGACCAAATTAGCACCATTATTATTGTATCAAAGGAGGATTGTACCATAGAAGACCATATGTACATATCAATGACCCTGCAAAATTACAGGACTCGAGCTACATTATTTCCCAAGTTATGGTAGTACAAACATTTCTCCACAGACTGGTGCAAAGAAAACAGTGCAAAAACTGACATGACCCCACCCCTCTTAAAGAATGCTTTAACTCAAAAACTAATGTTACCCATGACCCCAAATTCTACACATGGTCCACTAAATGAATATTCACTCAGGGGGAAAAAAATCTGTCGAATAGAAGAAGGTCAGGTGTGGGACATTCGGTGAAATGACTTTTGTATGAAAAGCGATCTATAGAAAAAAGTCCGACTGACTAACTGATCATTTCATTTTCACTCCACAATATTCTTTGAATTACAGACACTCACCTCATACATAACAGCCTGGCTGATGTAAACCAAACAGAGCAGGACAGCATGGAGACTGAAGAAAACATCATTAGCATTGACAGGGTTGATTCCATTTGGGTTCCTCTTCAGAAACTCCTCCTACAGGACAGGCACACTGCAGCTTAACAGAAAACAGACACTACATACTGGACATGCACTCAAGACCTACTGCAGCTCCACAGAAAGGCAAGATGTGTAACAGCTGAGCATATACATGGTCCACTCTAGGCATAAAGTATACTGTATACACACATCAACAAGAAATACGCAGAACTGGCTTTACATTGTGTTACATTGGATAATCTATAAAGAAACTGTTTCTCAACCTTTGTCCACCATTTTTAACATATTCTATTGTAAAACGACTTGAGTTTCAAAGCTTGAGTGGCCTAGGAGAAAATGTTTCTGGTTAGGGAACTTGAATGTGACTTTTAGGAGCTTCAGTAGAAAGCAACCTTTTTTTTAGGTTCTTGTAGATGTTTCACCTGTCATCCTCGAGCCTTCTTCAGTTCTAACTGACTGATGGGGAGTTTCAGATGTTTATAGTCACTCTGGAATGCTGGTAGAAAACAGTTATATGTTGTATGTTATGTTATAGTATATGTTAATATTTTTATTTTACCAATCAATGCCGTTGCTTATTTCTAACTGACAGCTGCATATTAAACCTGTTAAACTTTAAACTTCCATCCATTATCTATACACCGACCAATCCTCACTCGGGTCGCAGAGGGGTTGGAGTCTATCCCAGCTGACTCAGGGCTAAGGCAGAGGATACCCTGGACAGGTCGCCAGTCTATCACAGGACTTAGAGACAAATAAGCACACTCACATTCACACCAATGGACAATTTAGAATCACCAATTAACCTCAACATATTTTTGGATTGTGTGGAGAACCCAGAGAGAACCCACACTGCACGGGGAGAACATGCAAACTCCACACAGAAAGTTCTCGGGTGTCCTAAACAGGACGCAAACCGGGGATCTTCCAGCTGTGAGGTGACGGCGCTAACCACCGAGCCACCCAGCTCTAAACTTTGTATACTAAACCATGATATTGTATTGAAGTGCATTTAGGTCTGACACTGTCCCATAATCCAAGATATTACTTTAATTTTTGGACAGATCAAAGTAAAATAATGCTGATTGAATTTGGCAGCAAATCAGGACAAAACATAAAAACGTATTTATGAGATTTCTGCATCACCAGCTAAAAACATGTCGAGTTGCCGTGGCAAGGGGATGTTACAGTGTGTGATATTGTTACTACACGGCTTCATCCAGTGATATTTGTAACACACAACAGTTTTACAGATAAACATATCGCCTTAGCTGAGAATCTGAATCACTCAGAGAGAATCGTCAGGAAACGATTTGGTTAAAGGGAGACGTTTCTTATAGCTGATGTAAATCCAAAACTCTAACCATAACCTGCTCCAGAAAGATTAGATCCACAGTATAAGTTACCATGGAGATCTACCCAGGTAAAAAGAGAGCCACCTTCATGATGCTGAAAACTCTGACTTTAAGCTCAACATACCTGCTAATTCAGTAATCTGACTTCATAGCACAGCCCTCAAGCAGTCTAACAGCAATGACAGGAATGTTTGTGGATCTGCCAGTTTACACAACTAAAGGATATGAAGCTGCCATGTCAGCGGTGACTCAAGATATTGACCCTCTCTTCTAGTTGGAGAGACTATGCACACTTGAAACTCCTTGCCATTCAGTTAGAACTGAAGACGCCTCTTACATTAGAGGTAAATGTGTTTGATATGATGTGTTCGATGAAGTTACCTTTATGTAAGGCACCCAGAACAGCCCTATGTTAAACACACTGTAAGCAATGAATCCTGTCAGGTTGAGAGCGAGGAAGTCAAAGTTGAGACCTACAACGCTGAAGACAAACACATTAGTACACTTCTGAAGAGGAAAGACAACTAGATAGAAAGACGTCCTGTTTTTGATGTCGACATCTGGCCACTAAGTCACCAAAATGTAAAAGTGAACTATGTAATGTATAAAGCAGAGAAACGTCAACAGAAACACATATGAAGGCCATTTCTAAACAATTAACCAGCTGAATAAAAAGTCTGAAAAACTCTTTGTTGCTGGGATTCTTGTCCTGCTATAGGATGGAGTGCTGTCCACTGGGCTTGGAAGCATTTTAGTGAACTTGATCAGGAAATCAAACACTCCAGAATTTATTTAGCTGTTGATATCATTTATATCATCCCAGTTATCCTCTGTCCTCATTTCTTTAAGTGTACTTCCTTGATTTCTCACCTCACCTCCCCTCTTCACATCCTATCAGAGATGTGAGTGGAGGAAGCCAGGAAGAGACATGAGGAGAGATGAATTCAGGAAACTGGCATTTTATAAAAGAGAAAGTTTCACATTTCCAGTGCAACTACCTACATTTTCTGGATTTGTCTTTACCTCATTGGTTTTAAGAGTGTATTGGAGTGCTTGCATACAGTTTCATACAGCACGGGGGTGTGTTGAGATAGTATTTCATCAAAGATAACGACATTATTATCTGACAGTATTTAACAGTTCAAAACTTAGTTAAATTTAAAGAAAGACAGAGGACAGACAGAAAACTACCTTTTCCTCCTCCAGTTTTCCCAAGCTTGTGGATAGAAAGACACCGACCAGGCCAGAAAGTAAATCCAGCCAATCACTTGACTGATTATTGACAGAATGTTGCTGTGGACCACTATGAAGCGGATCCTGACAGGGAAACTAGAGAAGAGACAGTCAGGCTTACAAACACAAAGAAACTGCTCAGTGGATACAGAATTATTAGCTGACACACTATGACCCAGCCCGTGTTCTTAGTACAGCAGTAGCTCCCATTAGCGCAGTACACAGCAGTATTTCTCTGCCATGTTAGCAGTGCACCTCCTTTTCAGCTACAAATATTTCACGAGTCTCATGAAAGTCACTGAGCAAAACGTCACGTATTCTTTGTACAAGTTTGTGCTCCACTCTTTTAACAGTTTAATAAATTGTTTGTACTGTCTGCATTACTCAAATGAAGAGTTTACGAATAATTGTGACTGATGGATTAATAACCAAACAGGAGTACGATAATGTTAGCATCAAGATTCAGGTTACAAATTTGCAAAGCAACGTAACATACAAAGTGCATGATGGACAGAATAACAGCAAACCAAGTGATATACAAGAACAACACAGTATGTGATTTTTTTTTTTTAAACAACAGTCTAGATCAGGGGTCTCGAACTCCGGTCCTCGAGGGCTGATTCAAATGATCAGCTCATCATCAAGCTCTGCAGAAGCTGGATAACGATCCTGATCATTTGAATCAGGTGTGTTGGAAGAAGGAAACATCTAAAACTTGCAGGATTGCGGCCCTCGAGGACCGGAGTTCGAGACCCCTGGTCTAGATAGTACATAAAACGGATATGATGGTACCTCCACTCTATCTCATTGCAACTCCCTTTTTTAAACAAACAGGGATGCAGAGCAGTGCAAGAGTGAGAATAGAGAGGAGATTGCCTCTCGTGCTCGTCTCTTGAAGAAAATCAACAATTTTATAATAGTTTTTCTATTACATTTTTAACTGTATGTCACTGCATCTGCTTCAATATGACAAACCTGGTAATTTATCAATTAATGAAAGAAGTGTTTCAGAAGTGAGTACATCCTATATGCAATACCACCTAAATGTGAAATGATTCAAAACTGGATCACCTTGCAGTAATTGCATTACTTCTAAAGATGACAAGTAGAGCGTTTCTTCCTACAACAGATCAAAACTAAATAAGACTATAGACTGTGGTTCCAATCAGTCTAACTGCATCAACATGGTTAAAAAATGAACGGCAAAACAATATGGAACAAAGGGCTGTGTCCATCTGCATGTCTGCATCATAACTCCACATAAAAATAAACTGCCAGAGGAATTTGTGAAAACGTGTTCACAGATTGAAAATAAGACAGAAAAGATTCATGTTTAACTACCAGTCAAAACACAGTTGCAGTAGTAATTAGGAGGTAAAACAAAGCCACAGCACCACTAATCAAGCCTGTATTAGCGGCCCTTCCTGAAACGATGTCACAGACAGCAGTTTGCACAATCTAGTGCTGAAAAACACAAATGGAAGTGTTTCAGACTTGGGCAGGGGTTGATACTGGAAATCCACATTTCAGTATCATTTCAGACAGTGTGAAATGTCGACGGTCCCTAACATCAGTCTCTATGGACAGTGTTCAAGGACAAAAATTCTGCTTTTTCTTCAGTACAAGCCTGCAAGATGAAACTGTGCTTAAGAACATAAAAAGAAGCCTGAAAAATATTGGGAGTGCATATTTGGCCAGATGAGACCAAGATAAATGTTTTTCAGGCCAGATGGGATCCAACATATTTAAGGGCTGTTATTAAAAATCCATTAAAAAAAGTATTGAAAACAAAAGATCTGAATCTCAGTAATGAAAGATGTGCTGACTTCTGAGTTTTTACTGTGGGGTCTGTGTTTTTACAGAGTTTTAGAATGGTAAATTGAAACTGTTCACATTTTATTGAAATAAATACCCTACTGTTCAGCTTAGGAATAACGGAATTACTGTAAGATGATTACATTTTGAATCAATGGACATTTTACTGATAATAAAAGAATGTATTCTCACTTCCGTTGTGTACAATAATTTGTCAGGGTATGCTACTTTAGGACAGATACCCACCTGTTGAGTTCTGTGTTGTTGCTAAGCAGGTATGTGGTCACCTGACCGACATCATGAGCGGTCACATTGAAACTGACTGAGGTAGTCTCTGCTGGCAGCAACACCTAAACAAAAATACAAAAGAGACTGCATCATCTCTGGTAAGTAATAATTACTTTCTGCTTCCCTCTGCTATGTTTGCTTTTGCTGATTCATGCAATTAATTTTGCAAAAACAGAATAAGCAAGAACAGGCTTTGGCAACAAACACTGACTCTCTCTGCAAAATAAAAGATATTGTTGCTTCCATCCCCTGAGGAAAATATGAACTAATCCTATATTTGCAATACATGTGCACATTTATGGAGCCATTTTTTTTTTTCATATGAGGATGGTGTCAGAAGGGTAGAGTGGGGTGACTGAAAACACTAGGATTGATCATCTTCTCTGTTCATTGTCTTTATCAGCTTTAGTTAAATGCTTCGAATTTGACCCAAGGATAGTAAAGAGTGTAAAAGTTGAGAGGATCATCGCCGGAAGCAATTAAATCTAACATTGCAGCTGGCTGTGGTTAAATGTACAACACACTACACCTACCGTAATTTCCGGACTATTGAGTGCACCTGAATACAAGCCACACCCGCTTAAAAACAAAACAGGTTTTGTACATATATAGGCCGCACTTGTCTATAAGTCGCAGGTGTCCACGTTGTAACATGAGATGTTTACTAAGAAAGATGTCACACAGAAAGATTTCTTAAACTTTTAATGAAATACTTACCGGTAACATATACAAATACGGACAGTAAATGTTTTTTTCCCAAACAGTGCCTGTAACACGGCTGGTTAAGAAAATAAAAAATACAGTAGCCTATCAGGAAGAGTCATTGATCGCTTCATCTTCCTCCTGCGCACTAAAACCACTAAAGTCGTCTTCTCCATTGAACAGCCTCAGAATTACTTTGTCCCACACTTCCTAAGTCTCTCTTTCATTGATGCTCTCAATGTCACTTTTGTCTTGTAAAAATTGTAAAAATCCATAAATTAGACACATCATTGTTTAAGCCACAATGTTCAAAGCGTGTGAAAAAAGTAGCAGCTTATAGTCCGTAACTACACAGTGAGAGAAAAAGAGATGTTTACTGCTTGGAGTGAAGTGCAAAATCAAGTCTGCATTACAATCATTTTAAGTGGTGCAAAGTTCAGTGATAAAAAAATACAAACTTAGAGCCAGACTTGCACAAAAGCCTAGCTTAAAATTATGTTTCCGTGCTTCAACATGTATCATGTTTTTTTAATTTTTTTATATTTTATGTCTTACCTGCTCAGGCACTGTAACTATAGATGAGTAGTTCCACTTGGAGCTGTAGGTTACATTTAATACAATCACAGCTGACTGGTTGACAGGTGAACTAGAGAAAAACACAAAAACACAATCAGAACAATACTTATCTTGACAAATGCTTTTACAAATTACAGCACTATGAACAACCACCAGGATCTAGAATTTAAATTTAACTTGTGAAATATACTTGTTCTTTTAGTTTGTCCCTACTTTGTATTCACACTTTTGTGGTAGCAGTACATAAGCAGCTTTAGTACAGTGTGGACTAGACTGTGTCTTACAATGTAGCCAAGGACGGATTCAGGAAAAACTTGTTGATGAACAAGAATTACAGCTATCTATGACTTAGAACTGTTAGGTATCAGAACAAATTCTACAAAAACTCAGCCCCTTACCTTTACAACTTTCTAGAACATTTATCATGTTCTGAAAATGCTTGCATTGCACGAAGAAAATATGGTAAAGGCTTTTAGTAGACCGTGTAAAAAGCTTGTTCACACTGTTGTGTGATGGTTTTCATGGTGGAGCCTCTCTCAATAATATTGTTGTGATGATGATCAGTCTCTAGCACCATTTATGTCCCACACACGATTTCATTGCTGTCACTGCAAAAAACTACACCTAAAATTTATTTTTCTATCTGCTGCCTTAGATCAAGAACCAAACACCTCTTGGAACTCGTCAGTCATGCTATTACAAAAAAACAGGTGATGTTAACTCTTTGGTGTCAGTTTAAAAAAAAAAAAAGAGAAAAAAGAAGTTAGACAGAGGTCCTTAAGGACAAAAATGTAACAGTAAAAAACAGTGAAAACTATTTATTTTCCCTAAAGTAAACCCAAAGCGGAAAATTCTTTTGATAATCACAGTCTAGGGTGTGCCATGAGTAGCACCAACATCGATTCTGATGCATAATAACAATAACAATAATAATAATAACTATTATTATTATTATTATTACATTGTCAGATTTTTAATTTTGAAAAAAGGGCTAAAAAATGTTGAACGTGCACGTTTCAGTATGCCATTTTGAGTTTTCCCTTTTTGCAGTGTTTATCTTCTACTATGCAGTTTCATTTTCAAGATAGGCTAAGAATGAATTTGCCCACACAGTTAATCCCAACGATCAGCTGAATCTCTGCCCCCTACCTTTTGCCAGTTTTCATGTGGAAGACGGCTTTTATGATTTTGAATTTTATTTACTTTAGATGTTTAATTCATCCAGGTAAACAATTTCTCTCACAACACACAGACATTTTTGTTTCCAATATTTAAAAATGGGAAGCATATTAAGATTTATATCTATACTTCCTTCCATGTAGCCTGTACTGAGATCTCCCTGTGCGTTCTCCAAGTTCTATTTGAAATTGCATTTGCTTGTGTTTTGTGGGCGTGCCTATTAGTGAATTGCCAACGCCATCTGTACAGTCCTTCTCAGACATGGGATATGTAACACTGCTGCTTCATAAAAGTGAGAGCAGCCTGCTATCCAGACATAGGTTACTTAAATGTTCCTCACAACTTGGTCCAGACGTCCCCATGACAGTGATGGAAAGAATCATGGCGTGTATGTAATATTTGTCATACACGTGAGACTGGACAAAACATTACATACATACATAATAATGCAATATTAAACACAACTATAAACTAAATGCAGCTTATTAAACTGTCTACTTAACAACCTAGTTTATTCATGATTTTATAAACACTGTAAGTTCTGTCTATGTGTGACGATAATTAACTACCACTTTCAAGTTAAATAAAAATATCTTAACAGCTCTGATGGAGGTCAGGACTCAACCTGAGGACACCTGATATACAAGAAATGATTTAACTGGAGCTGACAAACTGTGACTCCGTGTGAGGTGCTCACCTGTTTGAGGTGAACCAAAGTACAGTGTGGCCTGCTGTTAGATCCTGATTGATCCTGTCTCCATTTTGGGGAATGTTTAGAATTTTAAGTGATTAATAAAGTGATTGCTGGTATTCTACTTGCAGAAATGCACACAATTCTGTTTCTTAGGAGACACTCACATGGATCCTGCTGCTGTCTGGTGCTGTAGGTATTTAATTAACTCTTAAGGAAAAAACATCACAAACAGCTCGAAGCAACAAACTGAACTTGTGAACTAGATTACAATAAATGTTGGTGAGTCTCGTTATTCTCACATTACAGTCTGCCTTCACCACAGTTAAGCTTTGTTTTTTTATCGACATTTCAGTTTGTACATGATGCGACATTGCTAAGCAAAGTAAATTGCATAGACGTGTAAACCTTTTCATTTGCCATCTGTGATGTTTTGGGACCATCATTAGTACTGTAGTGCTGAAAAGCATATCCCAGATTGTGTCACACAACTCAAAGTACTGTTGCCTGTGCATGCCCATTCAATAATGCAACAGCAAGAAGTTCAGACTTGTGGTGTGGTAAAAGTGATACAGAAACATAATCATGTCCAACCTAGTAAGACTGCTGTTGCACTTTGATAGGAAAGTGAGCAGGGTGCTGACTCAGACATGAAGCTGCCACGCTCAGATTCAATAAATTCACAGAAAGGAGTGCATGTCTAAAAGGGGCTGAAGTTTCAGCTATAATGTGAATATGACTTTTTAAAAATCTTGAGTAGACTGTATTTCTGTGGTTACCTGGAAGTAATAGTGATGTTGGCTTCAGAGTATTTCTCCAGTGTGACAGCATTCGGAGCAGACAAGCATACTCTTGACTCTGGAGGACAGAAAAGAAAATTACAATATTTGTTGTAATGCATTTTATTATTATTTTGTATTTTTTACTCGATTAAAAAAACTCAATGTAAAAATACAGGAAGGTTTGACTCCATGTTGAAACAGGAACCTAACTGAAACACAGTTTTCTGAGTGGACCTCGTGACCCCACTGTGAATAGCCAATAGTCATAACAGTCAGTCACCAGAGTTGTTGGTCATTATCCACAAGACCAACAGCTGAGCAGCGAGCCATCTCTTTTCCATGCCTAAACCAGCCATCTCTGCCAAGTGACAACAACCTAAAAGACACAAGGCACCCAAAGTGTGTTAGTAAACAGAGTAATCCCGTTCACAACTATACTGCAAACTATGTGACTCAACTGCTACTTCAGGTGAAATGTAGTGCACATGAAACTGCTCGCACACGTCTGAGCTGGGCTGCAATTCTAAAGTAATTTTTCTACAAAGAGTACAAATGTCACGTACAGTAAATTCAATTATTTGAATTTCTATAAATAACAAAAAACAAAACAAAACAAATTTTAAAAACAAAAGAAAGACAATTTGAGTAAATACACAAGATTAATACCCTAATAACACCTCAGTAATGTCACAGGCTGCTCGCCTCCATGCAACTCTACATTGATGCAGTAATTTGTGGAAATATAAGCTATGATTGCCAAAAGATTTCTTCTACTCGTTTCCCGTCATTATAACGACTCCAAAACGGCAAACTCAATTTGAGTTTCCAAATTCTCACCTTAATGTTTGAGCAGAAAACCTGAGCCCATCACGTTTACAGAAAGATGTGAACACAGTAAGTTGTTGACAAAGCAGCGTTAGCCTGCAAAGAGCTCCGTTTTTGAAAACATTCGGTTTGTCTCAACCAGTGACAAAATTAATAAAAAAACACCCTCACCTGAGTTGTGTTGTTGCGACAACTTCCGCAAATGATCACGAGACGAATTTGCCCTCTTCTTCTGTTTTTTTCACGGTTAGCCATCATCGTAGTGGTGTGTTGCCGCCACCGACTGGTGGAGCTGGCATTTACAACATTTGTTAAAGCTCCTTCATATCCACACTTCTATACTTATAACCCTTATTTTCTGGGTTCTTTTGCTGAATGTCTAGCTCAGAAAATCGTAATTTTACTTTTCTGCTATTTTATTTACTTCTAGGCCAATGTGTGCATGGACATTTGCCGGAATGAGTCTGGGCTTCACACTGTTTCAGTCGGACCTTTACTGAGGGAACACCCGTGTTCGACCTTTGAGTTACTACTTCCTGTCTGGGTGGAACAGCGTTCGACCGGAGTCTATTTGAGCTGTATTACTGAAAGCTAACATGTTTTCAGTGAAGCTCTGTGCGCCATCTGGTCTGTTATCACGGTAAGATTCGCAAAGTAATGTTTGAAAATGCAAAGTATAATTAATTCTTCAAATTAATTGAGCAGAAGATTCAAGGACTTAATTTAAAGACGAGTATTAAGTTGTCAAACAGCACAAGTCACCAGTTACGCCACATGATGGCGAATGTGCTCCTCTAGCATAAAGAAATGTCCCTGAAACTTGATGTGGCAGTGGTACATTAGACACTTAGAGTAATTTTTATTTGTGTGTATGTCCGGGCAGGTGTGCTTGCCCTGTGTTTACCTGCACAGGTTACCAGACAGCGTTGGCACTCAGCGCACGACTCGGCCAGGCTTCGCTGCTCCACACTCACACCGCTCAGCTGAACTCCAACAGGACGTCCGTGGTGCGCTGCGGTCGCCCGAAGTATGAGAGACTGTACCCCGTGATGTTGGTTCGTCCTGATGGAGCTACAATCAACATCAGATACAAAGAACCCAGACGCATACTCACGGTAAGTACACCAGCTCCTTTATGCACTGCTTCTATGCAGCGCTTTCTAATAAACACTCTTTTAAGAAAATAAATGTAAATTTGAAATGACTCGGGCTCCGATTTTGCCTTGGCTTCTAAATTGCAGGATATTTTTGAAAATTGTTTTTTGTAATACAGATAGGGCTGTCACTAACAACAATTTCTCTATGGATTGATCGATCAACTATTTAACCGATTAGCTGAACAATCTGAATGAATAATGTTCCTCAAAAAAAAAAAGTAAAACAACCAATCATTTAAGTTAATTTTATTTTGAAAAATTGTGTGCAATTGTATAATGCAGCACAGTTTGAAATGGGAGCAAAGGTATACATACTATAGTCTGAAACTGTAGAGTTAAACTGCAAACTCCAACAGGATAATTTCTTTTAAGGAGTTATTATTTAAATCAGTGGTGCAACTCCAAAAGAACGCCTATTTAATTTTTTTTTTTTGAAAAACCCTTAAACTGAAAAAAATTCCATCTGTACATTACACAAAGTGCAATATAGACATGGTGGATATTTCACAACCACGAAGCAGCTAGATTATCTCCTTTTTTCCTTGTTGTATAAATGCTTTCTGATGTTGTTCCGCCATTGTTTTTCCACTCGTGTGGGGAGTCTGTCAGACAGTGTTGCAGTTCTAAAATCGCTCTTGGTAGCTGCACAGCAGCAGCTTTGAAGTGACTGCCGATTAAGATGTTTTCTTTATGAGTTTCAGTCTGAATGTCAGACAGCAGAAACAGAAAACAATCAACATATAGGAGCACCTTTATTAGAAATTCAGCACTGTTAAGCATATGTGAACACAGAGAATAGAGATAAACAGATATTAAGTGTCTCCTTTGGTTTCTCTTCAAGTGCTCGTGTCTTGCGTTGTGCTGCTGTGGTTTGCTGTCCAAATTCTGCAGTGTACAAACCACCCTTTTGTTCTGTGATAATTGGAAGTACTCCCAGGCTTTGGAAACTTAAACACTGAACCAATTTGAACTTTGCTGCTTTCACCTCTATTTTCTAAAACTGTTGTGCAGTTTAATTAATGACTGGAGATAAAAACAAGTGACATCATGATGCAACAATTACGCAGACCCTGAAGAAAACTACTTGTTGTAATTTTTTGTAATTTTTTAAAAACCCTAACCCTAACAAACTGAGATTGACACATGACTTTGTTATTATGCAGACTAATCACAACAGCCATGCCATATTTATTTAACCCCTACCAAATATTGCTCACTTCTGTTTACTAGTACAGTGCTACCGAATTCTTACAAGATGTGTTAAGTCTTTTGGGAAGTTGATAATGACACTGAATTTGCTTTAGCTGTGACAAGGATATAAATCCTGCCTGTCAGTTGTGGTAAAGTCAAGACACTTCAAGTTCCAAGATGCACAGGTGGCAGCATCGTATGGAAAAAATACAGTAGAACATATGAACATGTTTTTTTAGTGCCTTCCAGTGAACACACATCAAAAGTAACATATACGTAGTTGTATGCAAAGTTTTGGGTAACCTGCTACAGTGCCGTGAAAAAGTATTTGCCCCCTTGTTGAATTCTTTTTTTATATTTCCCCCACTTAAATCTTTAAGACCATCAAACAAATTTAAATATTAGACAGAGATAACCAAAGTAAACACAAAATGCAGTTTTAAAATGATGATTTAATGTTTTAAGGGAAAAAAAGCTATTCAAACCTACCTGGCCCTACGTGGAAAAAGTAATTGACATCTATCAGTCTGGAAAGGATTACAAAGCCATTTCTAAAGCTTTAAGACTCCAGCAAACCCCGATGAGAGCCATTATCCACAAATGGAGAAAACATGGAACAGTAGTGAACCTTCCCAGCAGTGGCCGGCCAACCAAAATGACCCCAAGAGCACAGCGACGACTCATCCAGGAGGTCACAAAGTAACCCAGGACAACATTTAAAGAACTGCAGGCCTCCCTTGCCTCAGTTAAGGTCAGTGTTCACGACTCAAAGATAAGGAAGAGACTGGACAAAAATGGCATCCATGGCAGAGTTCCAAGGAGGAAACCACTGATGACCAAAAAGAACATAAAGGCTCATCTTACGTCTGCAAACAAACATCTGGATGATCCCCAAGACTTTTGGGAGAAGATTCTATGGACTGACAAGACGAAAGCTGAACTTTTTGGAAGGTGTGTATCTCGTTACATCTGGCATAAAAGTAACAGCATTTCAGAAAAAGAAAACACACAACAGTCAAACATGGTGGTGGTAGTGTGATGGTCTGGGGCTGCTTTGCTGCTTCAGGACCTGGATGACTTGCTGTGATTGATGGAACCATGAATTTTGCTCTCTACCAGAAAATCCCGAAGGAGAATGTTTGCCATCAGTTCATGACCTCAAGCTGAAGCGCACTTGGGCTCTGCAGCAGGACAACGATCCAAAACACACCAGCAAGTCCACTTCTGAATGGCTTACAAAAAAAAACAAAATAAAGGTTTTGGAGTGGCCCAGTCAAAGTCTACTTTAGTCCAATTGAAATGTTGTTGCATAACCTTAGAAAGGCTGTTCATGCTCAAAACCCCTCCAGTGTTGCTGAATTAAAACAATTCTGCAAAGAAGAAGAATGAGCCAAAATATCTCCACAGAGATATAAAAGAGTCATTGCCAGTGATAGAAAACGTTTGATTTCAGTTGTTGCTGCTGAGGGCGGCCCAACCAGGTATTAGGTTTAGGCAATTACTTTTTCACACAGGGCCACGTAGCTTTGAATAGCTTTTTTCCCTAATAAATAAAATCATTTAAAATCTGCATTTTGTGTTTACTTGCGTTATCTTTGTCTGCTATTTACATTTGTTTGATGATCTTAAACATTAAAATGGGGAATATATGCAAAAAAAATAAGAATTTGAGAAGGGGGCAAATACTTTTTCATGTCACTTTATGTCCATACTTAGAAATTCCCCTGTGGAAGATATCATGGCTTGCAAATGCTTTTAGTTGCCACCTACAGTCTTTGTTTTCTTGGTTTCTAAATGTATTTATTTATTTTTTTGCCTCTTTTTTAAAACTTTTTTTTTTTTTTTTAAATAACAGAGCACTATAAATTCTGAGACACTTTTTAGGTTGTTGTGTATACACAGCATGTGTAGGACCTATCCAAAAATTTTATGTGATGTTTTTGTCGGGGAATGTGCGGACCATTTTAAACGCATCACCTGAGTGTGTTTAAGGAATGTGTGGTAGAAGTAGATAGAAGCCAGAGTTGAGAAAATACTGATGATCGTCAGCTTCTTTATCAGACCTGACCTATATCTGCTAGAGGACACCCCATGCTGACCACATTTATATTTATGTATGTTTTAAAGTGCAAACTCTTTTGCAACAATCTTCTTTCTCACAACACTAACCCAACCCTCTTAATGATAGTTACAGAGACATAGCATCATCAGATATCTTTGATCAGATAATAAAAATGCAGTTCATTTTTCATTTTTGCAAGTTAATTTGCATTTTTCTTGTGTTTTTAAAGATGCCAGTCAATCTGGCCACTCTGTCTGAAGAGGAACGTCGAGCTCGACAGAAAAGGAGAACAGTGAAGAAGACCATAACACAGACAGTGGACCACTATGAAGATGACTTCAAAGCGGACAAATACAGCCACTTATGGAAGAAGAAATAACTTCTTTATAAATTAATGTGTTATGTTTTGGCTCTGTGTTCAAGAAAGAACTCTGCTGCCACAAATTTTGTTGCTGTGTTCTAATTAAAGTAAACTGAATTGAAACATTGTGTTGCAAGGTCTCTGCTGTTTGCTATTTTGTCAGCTGCACATGTCCTACTTGATAGACCATTACAAAAAGAGAATAGCAGTTTACCACTGAGGGACTGCAGCAGCTTATAGTTAATTGTAAATGAACCCTCCATTAAAAAACATTCTTTTTTTTGGTTAAGGTGGAATCTGTAAATCTAGGATTATTCTGTGATACTGTTACTACTTAGGTATTAATGAGATTTAAATAAATGGCGTGTGCCAGATTTACCTTCCCTCTTGCTTCCTCAGCCTCCTTTCCCCCTGTCACCCCTACCTGGCCCCCTGTCTTGTGCGTAAACTTAAACGTTCACAGGACACTCTGGAATAGTGTTTTGTCTACTGGCTCGAGCCACTTCTTCCATTCACACGAACTGGACAGCTAGTGCACTGAAAGGAGATATGCACTGAATTTGCAAACATTAAACCTTTGGATTAGACTTTGTAGGCAGTTGAAGGTTTTGTGTTGTAATGCTGCTCAGAGTAGTGATAATGTTCCCTGTGCAAGTATGTGAGTTGAGGCTCTTGCAAATCTGCTGTTTAATCATCTGAGTACAATCACTGGATCAACTAAATAATTTGAAATGTGTCCGCATGATTATGAATCAGTAGATCGACTAAATAACTTAAATGTCCAAGATTTTGCTTGAAATGTGATTACTGGAAATACTAAAATACTTAGTGGAAAAAGAACTGGAGCAGGGCAGCAAGGGGGAGTGTGAGTGTCTGAAAAAGATTCAGAAAGATACAAGAACACCTGCTGAGAGAGATCAAAGACAGGGCAACATTCAGAAAGGCTAGAAAAGAACTTTCTAAGGGATCAAGACTAGGGCAAGTATAGGAAAAAAACAGACAAATGCTATGTCATGATGGAATTTGCCAAAATTCGGCTAAGGGCAGAGACAATCTCAAAGTTGACACCCTCAATTCCAAAAGTAGAATTTCAAAAGAAGGAGCCCCCAAAGAGGATAAAAAAATCTGAGAGGAGTTAGTTCAGTCCCAGGACTAGCTCATGGCTTGAGCTGTCATTTCCTGCCTTTTGACAAATCAAACCTTTTTGCACCATAGTCTGCTTGACTCAAGTGTTATTTTGAAGGCTTTTCTGCTCATTACATTTGGCTATTTTGAGTGGATCTTGGTAGAATTTTTGAAACTTCAATTTGCAGATTAGATTTATTATTATGTATGATTTATCATCCATCCATCCATCATCTATACACCCTTTAATCCTCACTAGGGTCGCGGGGGGCTGGAGCCTATCCCAGTTGATTTAGGGGGAAGGCAGGGGACACCTGGACAGGAAGCTGGAGAACCTGGAGAGAACCCACGCTGCACGGGGAGAACATGCAAACTCTATGCAGGAAGATCCCAGGTGTCCTCACCGGGATGCAAACCGGCGACCTTCTTGCTGCGAGGTAACAGTGCTAACCACTGCGCCACCTTGCAGCCCTATGATTTATCAGATTTACCTAATTTAATACAGATTTTGTGTACACTGCTGTGTCTATGAAACACTGAGTACTAATGTGCTTATTGTGCAACAGCAAACATGTTGAGAAACTACAATAAGTATGTTGGTTGCAGAAGTATGTGCACAAACCACAATAAATTATACATACCTACATACATACATACATACATACATATATTTATATATATATTTAACTTTACAAGCATATAAGCCTACTCATTGATGGAAGAAAAATAAATTAATCTGACATTACGGAGCCTCTTTATTTCCGGCAGGCCATAAACTATTTAAACGGTAAATCAAGCAAGTTTTATTGTCTCGTACTTCATACTCCAAACCAGCAGGGGGCGAGAACGCGTTATACACGCAGTTGGTAAGGCTGCGAACCAGTATGAGGACGTTTCTTTCGTGTCCTTGCTAAGTCCAAGATGGGGTACTGGGATCTACCAGACGGCACAAACTGCGCGGAAAAAACATGGATCATTACCAAACTGGGCACTGCTTTGGGTAAATATCAGCATTGATCAGACATTTTTGAGTCACGTTCTCTTAACATGCAGGGGTGTCGTGCTGTGCCGTAAAGGCAAAGCAGCTCTGTGCCCGAGAAACGCTAATCAGTTAGCCTATGCTAACGCGTTTGCGCTAGTAGGATTGCCCAGGGTGACTATGTTACATTGAGTTCAGATTAAAAACGACGCCGAGCTCTTTTAGGTTCGAAAGTTTCAGTGTTTATTTTCTATTAACAACATGTCGTCCCAGTGTTCACAACCTGAGATGATACCCGTTTGTGAAATGGTAGAGTTGCATCTGTTAAAGCAACTGCGTTCTCAAAGGACAATGTTAGCTTCTTTAGGCTAACGTTGCAATAGCTCATAACAACAACCGGGTGATGCTGGCTTTGTCAGAAGGCTGTCTACATTACTGTTCAGCCTGTCAACATATAGTTGTGTGTGAGTGTGTGTTATGATCAGCACGAGGAGTGCGTTGAGCTGGTGAGACAGTTGCAAAACAGACCAATACAGACAGCAATTGTATCTGTTTGAAATGCATTTATTTCATCAATTAATTTTTTGCTGTGGACTCAGCAATGCTCTGAGGAAAGGCCGGTGTGACCTCACTGTGCTGTTGTCTTAAACATGCCTTTGTATCCACAGACTGGATGTATACTGCGGCTTGACAGCTTAGTGGAGGCAGATAATTGTGAGAGGCTAATTCTAGTTCTCTCCAATCTGTCTGGCTTTAAACCACAGACTGGATCAAATTTGCTATCCAAAACCATTGTGATTATCTTCATATGTAACCCTGCAAGATATTATGATTAACAATATCTTTAAAGGTGATTGTTTTTGATGGCATACTCAATCCTTCTCAGCATGAAGAATACCAGTGTAGCACACATTTCTTCAGAGATGCCATTCTTCAGAGACGATTTTTCTTCAACTGCTTTTTACTGTATGGGTTATATTGATCTGCCTTTCTCTTAGAAACACTCCTGTTCTATTGGATTCAAGTCAGGCAACATACCGTCAGTTTTCACTTTTTTATGTTGTCATGCTGAAATATTCCTCTGGGAGTTAACTTGTCAGCCAGTATTTGGGTATATGTACAGACATTCATGGTGCCATCTATAAATATAATCTCTCCAAAACATTATCCACTCATGCAGCATCACATTCTTAAGTGTGTGCGTCACTGTCAATACTGTGCATTCAATGTGGTAGTCTTGGCCGGTTTCTGGTCTACAGGCCATTTTCTAATATGTTTGTGCAATTAAGCTAATTGGAAATGACAGCTGTACTGAGTTTTGTTCCAGCAATGACAGGTTTTCCAACTTGTGTGTCAGTAATCACAGGTGTATTTACTTATCTTGCATGAAGTTTTGAGTCAGACGTCTGTATTTTTATTTTTATTTAATATTTTGTTTGGGAATTTTTTTGTTTGTTTGTTTGTTTTTTGCCAATATTGTAGTTGAAAGTGGAGAGAGAGACAGGAAATGTGGGGAGAAGAGTGGGGGAAGGACCCGCAGTAAATGGTCGTAGGCCCGCCCAACCTGCTGAGCTATCCGGGTGCCCAAAGTCTGTATTTTTAATATAGCCTCTCTACAGGATAAGGGATAAAACAATTTGACATTTTCCAAGTTGTTTCATGTTGTTTGAACTTAAAAGAGCACATTGTTCTAATAAAAATGTATGATATTTTTTTTAAATGAAAATTAAAATCAGGAAAAATTAGTAAGAATGACAACTGAATATGAGGTGTGTTTTGTTGTTGCTATCAAGTTTGTTAAGTATTTGTTTTCTGTGTGTGTGTGTTGTTGTTTTTTTTTTTTTTTTAGGTCTGATTGGTTCAGCTTATCATATTGTGGCATTTCCGCCTGACTCTGCATTGGTAGGAGCAAGGAGGGCAGCCAATGCAACAGTTACCATGGGTAAATATATTTAATTCAAAAATCCATAATTACACAGATTCTGGTCTACATTGTCACTCACAAGTATTCAGACCTTTTGGCACTTCATTGTCCTTTTCAGAGACTTACAGTTGCCAAATGAAGTGTGCAAAAAGTGAAAGGGTCTGGATGCTTTCTGAAGCAACTGTAAATAAAACAGTCAAACTACTTATTTGTCCCATGTGCCAGTGTAAACTACTGTTTATTTTTAAATGTTATGAGAGAAGGGAGCCGGTATTGTTTTTTCTGCTTTGGATTCCAGCACATTAAGGTTAAACACAATTGTTCAGGGTTAGTTTGAGCCATAGCTGAAGAGTATAGGAATTCAATAACAAGAAAATACAATTTAATATTTAGGTATTGCTGCACTTTGCCACTGCTGCAGTATGCTACCATTAACGTTTAAAATAGACACATTCCTTATTTTCATTTTAAATCTCAAGTTTGGAGTACAGAGCCTGAACACTGATGAATGTGCCCAGATTTCAGTCATGTGACTTAATACCTCGGTTTTTAATAAGCTTAAGTGCTTCACTTTGGATTCTAGTATTTGCTCAGGATGATTGTGGAATTCTGAATTCTCTTTTTGTCGTGCCAGCCACTTTGGGAGCCGTCTTTGGAGTGACATCTTGTCTTCTTGCTGAGGTTCGTGAAGCCCCAGATGACCCTCTGAATTATTTTGCTGGGGGCTGTGCCTCAGGGATCATCCTGGGAGCCAAAGGTAAGTATCAGTCTAGGTGAAAACACAAGACTAGAAAGTATTGTTCTGCTGCTGCTGCAAAAAAGAGGTCATATTACTTAGGAATACAAACTACTTGCTTTTTGGCGAATGTCGCTTTTTTTTTATGTTAGTTTGGGTGGCCTGTGTGACTCATCCAAATCCAAAGAGTTTGTCTTTTTAGGGGGGGGAGGGGGTCAAGAGTCAATGCTATGCATGTCATGGAAGCTCTTTCTGCCGTCCTGATAAGTCAGTTAGTCTGTAAAAGGAAAAAAAAAATCTAGTCACCTGTTAGCAGCAGTTGTGTTTCTGTCACATTACTGCAACACTTTAATTGTAACTTTGTTGGTGGCACAAAGTCTCTCCTTCATTCTTTGAAGCATTTGGAGGTGAGATCACTGAGGTAAAGACAGTTGCTAACATTTTTATTTTAAGTTAGTCAAGCTAATGTAACTTTAGTCTGTGTCACAACAGCTTCTCCATTTGTAAAATAAACAAACAGATCATCCATTAAGTTGTCTGTATGGCAAGAACATTTAAAGAGGATGGAATGTTAATTTTATGCAGATGAATGCAATTCTCCGTTGTACTGACTCCTTAAACTCTGTTACTAATGTGAAGTCACAACAGCATCTTTGAACGAGCTAATCTTTGCCACTCTCTGCTGGTTCAAACTAGATGTCACAAAATAGGTGAAGTCAGTAAAGCACATGTTCTCACTGACTTTTTCAGAGTGACAACATGGAAAGGAAAGAGAAACCACATGAACTCTATGCACAAAATGAGTTATTTATACTGCTTCAACACTGGTCTCTGTATTTGTGATCTGTGCATGTAGGACTAGTTTATGGAATAATAATTGGAATAACAATATCTGTGCTTCTATTTCCAGCCCACAATGCAATGACCGGTACGTCAGCATGCCTGGGTCTGGGAGTACTGGCCTTCTTTACAAAAGTTGGAAAGATGGAAGGATGGAGGGTAACTGGACCCCCAAAACTATAGGAGAAAGATAACTGTAAGATTGAGTTTATGTATAAATGACCTGAGTTATTAAATTGAATAAAGTTCTTGTTAAAATGACAAAACAACATTGAGTCAGTATTTTTCATCTCATGTCAGACTGTGAAACATATTCATGTTTATTTCAGTTTATTTTATTTTAAACTTTTTTTTTTTTTTTTTTAGACATTTTCATTCAGGATGGGGGCTGCTGATCTGAGAAGGGAGGGAAATGTTTAGTTATAGCAGCATCAGCAGCCTGACCTGCTTCCTTTCACAGACATTATCTGGAATCACTGGTCAGTCAGCCTCTTATTTTAACCAAATTTGTGTATGCATGTCCATATAAAGTTTGTCCTTTATTTATGTGTTTAAAAAAAAATAAAACATTAGTCTTAAATTTTTATTACCCTGTGAACCCCAAAACGCACTGACTGGTTTAAAGGTTTTTTTTTTCTCTTTTTATTTTTTTGTATCCATGTACATTATGTGTCAGCCAGAAACTATTAAGAGGAAGAAGTGTCACAGAAAGTGTTTTCTGCTGTGTTTTGAATGACTTATTCCTGATATGCTGTTCCATTGTCAGAATTAACCAAATCTCATCTTAAAATCTTAATATTTATTTTTTAAAAACTCCCTGATTCTGCATGCCATTTAAAAAAAAATCACCAAAAATAAACTATTTTCACCAGTTAAAAATAAAATAAAATAAAAATTAAAAATCTGCATTACTTCATCATTGACTCAACTGTGACCAAATAGCATAGATAGACTATACAGCTTAACTGCAGGCAGTACTCACATAGAGCAGAGAGGAGACAAGTATGGAAATAAGTATGCAGAGCCACCATTTCCTTTTTTTTCCAGTACACTTATTGGCATTTAGCAAGAAATTCAACTTTGATTTTCTCTTTTTCATGATTTATGGTAGTGATGGCTGGATGAGGCCTCACGAAGCCTTGTGGCACATTACCCAAACAATGGTACTGTCACTGTGTTGCTCAATACTGACACCTGCTGGATCTTAAAAGTCGTTACAGGAAACCTAGTTGACAGGCTCAACTGACATACTGATTGATTGACCTGCTGTATGCAATAGTATAATTTAAGTTATTTTATTTTATATTGTATTATTTTAGTTCTTAATTTAATTTATAATATATTTGATATCTTTAAAATATACAGTCAAATAATGTGAATGTGTGGCGTAACGTGAAAATCAAAGGGAAAGTGTTGTGGATGTAAGGATGCTTGTCTACTTGTCTTTGAGGCAAGGAGGGGATTTTTTCTAAATATATACATTTTTATTCAAAAAAATCAATTGCTCCAATATCTTGCCGTTAAGGCGATTCCGTTTTTTTAAATTTAAAAAAATTTTTTTTATTATGCAAGTTCTCCAGAAACAGGATTAAACAACAAGGAAATAAAAAGAAATACCTTATTTTCCAATATAAGATCAAAATGGTCTCACATGGTGGGTACCTTTCTTTTTCTTTTGCTCCATAATAGCTTGGAATTGCGCTTCAAAAGATCTGTGATTCTTTAGACAGAGATGCATCCCGCTGACAGATTCGTTTCCTGATAAAAACAGTTTGGCGCCTCAGTGACAGGCCAAACGGCAGCTGTATCGGTCACGTAACTTCAAGCGATACACGCACTGACACAGGATTTCACTCCACGAGCTCGACACATGCGCCGATGCATCGGTGTTGCCGGACCCATTAAAGATTTTTGGTATTACAAATTTGTTATACTTTAGAAAAGACACTTTGTAGTCCTCAATACTTCTATCCATGGCTGTGCTGTCTTCATAGAGGTGCAGGACTCTATATTGCACTGAAGCGGTGAGTAAAAATCTGACAGGAACACAAAAATGCCCAGAAATTGGTTCAAGTTTAGAGGGTTTATTTGCAGCAACACTATTGAGTGAAAAATCAAGTACAATAAAGACAACTGATGGGGGAGAGAAACTTGGATCATCCTCCAGTCTGTTAGATTAAAATACCCATGTAGATGTGCTTAGCAGTAGCACCAGAATGCTTTCTTACAATGAGTCAAAACATAACCTCTTGCAGATGACAGTGAATTTTGATAATCTAACAATGCAATGTGTCTGTGGTGAGTGAACAGTTCAAATTTAAGGATAATTAGGAGAAGGGTTCAGTTGACCTTTTCATCGCCTTCAAATGTGTGGACTTTTGAATATGCTTTATTGGGACTGCAGATACAACACTGGAATCTGCCTCCAGAAGTTCTCAGAGGATTCCATTGTCATGGGCAGAAGTACTGTGGGGTAGTAGTGAGTTTCGTCGGATGGTGCGGGGAGAAATACCTCCAGCTCAACATCAGCAAGACCAAGGAGTTGTTCATGAATTCCAGTGGAGCAGATGGAGCAGGAAGCCCCCAACCTCCCCCCCCTTTTTTTTCCTTTTTTTTTTGCTGGACTTAGTTTGGTTATTAAAACATGTCATCTGTAGTGATCAGGGTTATCCACTGGGTGAACATTCGGTAATAATTCGTCCTCCTCCAGTTGCAGTCATTTCTCTTTTATGGACTGTGATGTGTTTTTTGGCGCTGAGCTTAACGTCAAACCACTTTTTACATTTTTGCCAGCGATCTCTCCTCTGACCAACAGAAATAACTGTGGTGGTTATCTTGTTCCATGCAGCATTTTTTCTTTCGCTGCTTATCCCAACATTTCAC